ATTCAGCCACTTTGTAAAATGTTCTGGATTATCATGGATTAAGTCTAATGAGGTGAATACCAGCTCATAGACTTTTCTTTAATTTTAAAATTGACCTGTATACTGAGCTCCGGGAGCATAGTTATTCCTATACTTCTAGTGCTATGATGCTGGACCTTCTGGTCTCCGTTCCAGTAGCTGCAGTTTTATGTAGCTGCTGTTCCCACCCCCTCCTCTTTCTGCTACCCAATCACAGAACGCTTTGTATGATGGGGATTTCATTCAAAGACAATTCAATACAAAGAGTTTTTTGTGAATAAATGACAGAGGGCAGGGAATGGCAAAGATGCTGTGTGTGAGAAGATAGTGCCTCACCTCTCAGAGCTCTGGGAGCATAGCGATAGTTGTATTCCTTGCGCTTCATAAAACTAAGTTGCAAATAAAAGATATGTCCCTGAGAGGACATGCACCTGGTTGGACTAAACTCATAATCAGACAGTATATTTTACATTTTTAAATTCCTGGAGTTCAGCTTTAATTGCCAACTGAACTGTGTAAAATGTCAATGCATTCCAAGTGCAATAGAAAGATAAGTAATTGCAGTCCTTTTGTTCATTTAGTTTATAAAGCAGCCACAGCTATGGCAACTAGAACAGGGTGGTTCCATGACTTTCTCAACTCCCTTCCTGTGCATGGACAGTCATCATCTGCCTTTCAATGGAGATTGGATTAAGGTGTCTCTGCTACTTGTGTAGATTTAAATACTGGAGTATCTCCTTGAAACTAATCAGAGCTGAAGAAGTGGCTTAGAAAAGTTATGAAGCATTTCCAGTCCAGTTCAATGTGACAGACTCCTACTAGCTATGGTAATAGTCAATTTCTCCCTTTATTCCAGTTCTGTATGAGAGTTCTGAGCTGTCAAAGACCTGGAGGCTTCAGTCTAGTACCCTTCCTAGAGAGAGCTAGAGTTCTCCAGCTGGGAAAGCGAATACCTGGTGCACACATTCAGTTTGGTTTTTGGTGTTTTGGGGGGTTTCAACCCAATGGGCTGAACAGAAAACAGATCGCCGTACTAACTAAGTGATATTATTACAGTGACTTCTCCCACTGTGCCTTTGTGTTCTGACAGGGGGCTGTGAGCGCTTATTGCATGCTGCTTTTCCATCATGTCCTTTTGACAAAACCGGTCCTTGGACTGGCTTCTGTTGGAAGGACAGCTGTACACAGGGTTCAAATGTTAGCCGATTCTGTCAAAGCGGCTAATGTTTGAAGCATGCGTACCCAGCTTAACGCTCCCTGCTGATTTAGAGAGTTCTGATTCACAGGATATATGCTGGGACTACTGCTCTACCTCAGAGCTCAACTGTCTTACATGATGGAGACAAGGTGTGTGTGTTTTTTATTGCTTTTTTTTTTTTTTTTAAGCTGTGGCTTCTTAATGCACGAAGTGAATAGTAAGACAGTACATGGAATATATAGATTTTTTTTTTTTTTTTTTTTTTTTTTACTTATACATTCATTTCTGCTGTAAAGTCAGCCTGTTTTTTGCCTATCTGGGGCAATGCAACGGGTTCACTTTAATGTTGGCCCCTTATACTTAAGGCATCTTATACTTTCTTCCATGTTAAACAAAAGCAAAAAGGGCGTACTCTCATCGTGCATTACCGTGGTACACCATGTGTTTATTGTGAAATCAAATAGATATATATACTCACAAACCAAAGGAAAATACAAGCAGAATAAGTGGTCCGCAGTGGCAGTCCAATACAATGCTGTGCCCTAGAAAGGGATAAGCTGATGCTTTTCGGGAGACGAACCCCCTTCTTCAGAGCTAAAATGACCCTGCTGTTCCAACTCTTATATACCCAAAAATGTGAAGGAGGTCAAGAAAACCATCGCACCCCCCCCCCCCCCCCCCCCCACTCACGAAAAGGCCCAATCACAGAAAAGTCCGAATGGACCCACCTCCAAAAAAAAAAAAACCAGACCACACACAACTCAGCCAAAAAAGTATTAAAGTATTATGTGAAAAAAAAAAAATAAATACATATATATATATATATATATATATATAAAACCATATTAAATAAATTGCTTCATGAATGAAAAGTAGAATACAAAAAGTAAATAATTGATTAATGGACCTTACTTACTTAGTCCCCGAATCTGAATGCATGCCTCTAGTGTAGCACATGGATAATCCCTGCCCTAAATGATAATGGTCTTGTAGTACTTATATGTAATGATAGTATAGGTAAATAAATGTATTTATTTACCTACACTATTACATAGAAGTACTACAAGACCATTATGATATGATCTGGGACTAAGAGTAAGTAAGGTCCATTAATCAGTTACTTTTTGCATTCTACTTTTCATATATATATATAATATAATTTTTTTATTTTTTTTTTTACATAATACTTTAATACTTTTTTGGCTGAGTTGTGTGTGGTCTGGTTTTTTTTTTTTTTTTTTTTTTTTTTTTTTTTTTTTTTGGAGGTGGATCCATTCGGTTGGAACAGCAGGGTCATTTTAGCTCTGAAGAAGGGGTTCGTCTCCCGAAACGCATCAACTTATCCCTTTTTAGGGCACAGCATTGTATTGGACTGCCATTGCAGACCACTTATTCTGCTTGTATTTTCCTTTTGGTTTGTGAGTATATATCTATTTGATTTCACAATAAACACGTGATGTACCACGGTAATGCACGATGAGAGTACGCCCTTTTTGCTTTTGTTCATCATATATCCAGATTTCCCGATCTTTGAAGGGCTGCACCTCCTTGTTTGGCATTCTGAAATCCTTCTAGTTTGCATGAAGATTTGAGCGCTGGTTTCGTTTGTCAGTTTTTGGATTGCATTTTCTTCCATGTTACCAGGAGCAAGGAGAGAATGTTTGACACTTCAGTTAAAGGGCACATGACTCCTTCCATTCTTCCTACATGACAGCACTGGTGCTTGTCAATTGGCCACTAAAACATGAGCTTTTGCATGGAGGCAAAGGCAGTACTCAGTCCTGTGTAAGCTCTGAGTTGTTTCTCCTCTCTCACTGGCAGATGACAGGTAATACACTGCAAAGGAGGCTGGCCTTAGTTATTGGAGTGTTTTTTTTATATGATTTTTTTTTTTTTTTTTTTTTTAAATGGACAGGCCAATAATCGAACTTCATAGTAAACTTGGACCTTTTCCTCGGCAATAGCAGTTGACATATTTATATCTTTGCAAGTTCCTTTTAAAGCTATTGAATTCCGCAATCAACTACATTTAGTTTAATACTCATGCATCTACAGAAGTTATTTTGGTTTTATAATGCTACACAAAATGTAATTTTCTTAGGTAATCTTTTTTTTTTTTTTTTTTTTTTCCCCTCTTTTGAATAAGGCTAGAGATTTTCTTTTTTATATTTGAATCCTGATCATGAGAATTATGTGGCTTTGCTAGCTAAGTACTCTAAGAAGTCAGTCAATTTCTCCATTTATTACAGTTCTGTATGAGAGTTGGCACAGCAAAGGATAACTATATAAACAAGACCCAAGAAGCAAAGAACATGTCTAACATTTTTAATCAGCAGTAATATTTTCTCATTTCAAAGTTATTTTTTTTTTTCTTTTCTCTTTGGTCTGTTGAGCGCCGAAAGGAGTAACCTATCGAGCTTTTGCTGGAGGATGTTATAAATGAAAATTTACCAACCATTCCGTCAGCTTTGTTAGCTGGGTTAAGTGGTGTGTGTTTGCTATAATAGGAGAATGTTCCAAGGGTTGGAACACTTGGTTTTGTTTAAAGTCAGATTTATTATGTGAAAGAGGACCTCAAAGTCTCATGATCTGTCAAACATTTCCCCTTTCCGTTTTCTCCTAATTTTATTTACAAAATGTCATATTTTCAGATTACAATTTTTGCCGTAAGCTTTTACATTTAATTAGCTAATTTCTTTCTATTTTCTTGTCACTTTCCTTGTTTACTGTGATTTCATATAAACAAAACTGGCAAATTTTGATCAAAGTCCTTTTCCGTATGATTCAGTCTTCCCAAATCTAGTTTTATATCTTAAAATAATTTAACGGTAAGTTTTTACCTGCTGTCAGTATAGACTCCATGCAGATTTTACACATGAAATGGCTTCCTACAGAGAATTTGTGTTCAAAAATTTTAAGTCTCTAATCTTTAATTTTGTTAGGCATAGATTAAATGTAAATGGCAACTAATATTTGCCATGAGTAGGTATTCCGTGACCACACATCACTGAACCAGTGACAAAGATAGATAAAGGAATCTATAAATTTTGCATTTACAAGATCCTGCAACGAAGGCGTTGTAAGTTACTCTTTCTGGGCACCGCAGGTTCAAGCAGCACTGATGTTAAAGAAAATCGTAACGTGGATGGAGTATCGGCAAAGGATGGGAATGGCCAAACTACCGGGGAGGGGGCTCAGCTCTCCAATGGGGGTGAGGGAAGCAACAGAAAAAGACCATTGGAGGAAGGTAATAATGGACATTCCAAGTTTCGTCCAAAGAAGAGGAAGAAAACACCAGGACCCGTGTTGCCAAAGAATGCTCTCATGCAGCTGAATGAAATAAAGCCTGGCTTGCAGTATAAACTTCTCTCTCAGTCTGGACCAGTCCACGCACCTGTTTTTATCATGACAGTTGAGGTTAATGGACAAGCTTTTGAGGGTTCAGGACCAACAAAGAAGAAAGCCAAGCTTCATGCAGCTGAAAAGGCATTACGGTCCTTTGTGCAGTTTCCAAACGCATCAGAAGCCCACATTGCTATGGGGAGAACGCTGTCTGTAAACACTGATTTCACTTCTGACCAAGCTGACTTTGCTGACACACTGTTTAATGGATTTGAGAAGCCAGAACAGTCTGATCATGCTTTTTTTCTTGGGATCTAACGGAAATGAAGCTTTTAGTTCATCAAGCGACTACAGCATGACATTGGTTGGATCTGGTAATTTAGCCCAATCTCCCCTTCCCACCCCATCTCTTTTTCCACCAGCAAGTGGAAAAAATCCTGTAATGATTTTAAATGAACTGCGGCCTGGTCTGAAGTATGATTTTGTCTCAGAAAGTGGGGAAAGTCATGCCAAGAACTTTGTCATGTCAGTCACAGTGGACAGTCAGACATTTGAGGGCTCTGGAAGAAACAAGAAGCTGGCTAAAGCACGGGCTGCTCAGTCAGCTCTGGCATCACTCTTTAACATGCAGCTGGATCAGACCCCCTCCCAACAGCCTATTCCAAGTGAAGGACTTCAACTGCATTTACCTCAGGTAAGGGAAAGTACTAATTTCACTATTCGTTTTACTCATTGCAGTCCACTTGAACATGTAACAGTCTTCAAATGGCCTGCCAATTCATAATTACATTTTCTGTTACATGACTGATAACGTTGAAAAGAGACGGGTCCATCTGTTAAACATGTTTGTGTAAGTGTCTGAAGTCCTGCATAGCCCCAGCTCAGACCGTTCAGGTAGATATTGGACGCCGCTACATCTTCCTTTCCAGTCCTTCCTTTCTTCCCCCTGGCATAAAGCCCAACCAAGAACTCTTTGGTCCCAGCTCAGAGGGAAGCTGAGATTTCTATATAGTGGTATAATAACTGTTTTGTGAAAAGAAGTGATTGATGGCTAGATGTCCAGGCCAAATTTATCAGTATCACCATGTTTCAGTTAACCAGGTAATCACTTCTTTTATAATTTTCACACCTAATTTTTTTTTATATATATAAGACTTCTATTTATTATATTGTAATAAAACACCTGCTCCTTTTTTTTTTTTTTTTTTTTTTTTTTTATTGGAGGTTGACTACTTAAATATGTAAACTAAATCTATATAATTGACAAGTGTTATGTCTGCTTGTAGTGTAAACTTTGTTAAAGGTGAGCTTTGTGTCACCGTAGAAAACAAAAAAATTTAAATGTATAAACCAATGGGATGTGAAATGGGCCAAGATAGAAATATTTGAGCACCACAAACCATAATCCCTATTTAATTTGCGAAGAAATCACTTTGAAAAACACCCCCTAGTTTTTCTGGTCGTAGTAATCTTGAGTAAGGGCAGATGATTCATGTAGCAACTACTTCCTGGAATCCATCTGCCCTGCTCAGGCATGCAGGCAGGAGAGTGTGCTTAGCTGAGAAAACCCCTCCTAAAATATTTCTGGGATGTATGACGACATTTGCATAGGCATGGAAAAACAGGAAAGTATATCATATATTTGCTTATGCTAGCAACATAAGTATTCAAAATAGTCAATGATGATTGAAAGAGTGAAGTTCCACTTTAAGTCATAGGTGTGTATGGATTATTTTTTTTTTTTTTTTTTTTTTTTTTTTTTTTTTGAGTATAATGATATCATTTAGTGTTGCTTTTAAGGTTCAGCAAATATAATTAGTTCACTGATGCAAAAAAGTATTCTTAAAGTATAACCTAAAAGCAAAACTTTTTTTTTTTTTTTTTTCCCCTAGTTTTGGATGGAAGGGGGATTAGAATGCTTGTCTGTTTTTAGTGCGGTCTGTGCCCCCGTTAAGGAAATTTGCCCTATTTGTCCTGTTTACCATTATCATTGAAAGTGAAAAAACCCAAATTTTGAGTTGTCCCTAGAAAAGTAATAGAGGGTAAATCTTCCATTGGGGAGACTGGTTCTGGTGACCTGGAGGTCCCCAAGGAATTCTCTTAACACCTAGACACTGACCGCACACAAATATGTGGGCACTGTGCCTTATGTTGTGTGGCCACATTTACGTATCTCATTTTGTGCTACGGAGCGTGCCGCATTGCGCACTCCCAGCACAGAGACTGGGGTCTCAGCGTGAGCCCTGGGTCCCGGATGAACGATCAGGACTCAGAACGCCCAATTCCAGGTTACCTGATCTCTGTCATAGCCTCTGATTGGCTATCACAGTGATCAGTCACTGTGAAGCCCGCCCCTGTGTTTTCTCTCTGAATGGAGGAGAGATGCATTTTATTTCTCTGTCCTTTTCAGAGAGAAAAAAAAATACCTAGACAGAGGTTTGATCTGGGTCAGTGCCAGGGTTAGTTTTTGGGTCAAAGGTTAGGGTCAGTATATTTCGTGCCTTCAAGGGGCTTACAATCTAAGGTCATTCTCTTTCTTGCATGCATGCAAATATAAGGCAAGCTTGAACAAAAGCCTGTTAACCTACCAGCTTATCGTTTAAGTGTGGGAGGAAACTGGATATCCAGAGGAAACCCACATGACGCCAGAGAGAACATGCAAACTCTATGCAAATTGTGTCCTGGCTGGAATTTGAACTGGTTAACCCAGTGCTGCAAGGTGGAAGCGCTAGCCACTAGGCCAAAGTGCTGTTCACTGTTAAAATCTAAAATGACACACTTGACATGTAAAATGTGATGAGTTTAGCCTGAGATGTTGTAAATATAGAATCCTGCATTTCCAAACATTAAATTTTACTTAAAATATATGCTTATGCAAATCACTGTACACTGACATTTTTACCTTTTTTCTTGTTTGTAGGTTCTGGCTGATGCTGTTTCACGTTTGGTTGTAGATAAATTCAGTGAACTAACAGATAACTTCACATCCCCGCATGCACGGCGGAAAGTCTTGGCTGGCGTAGTCATGACAACAGGTACATATTTTGTGTGTGGAATTTTTGATGGTTACTCAAAGGAGAAGGCCATTTGGAGAAAAAGGATATACAAAGTGTCAAGCATGACGACAGTTGAGCATGTTTCTTTAGTTGGTGGAGTACACATGATATAGCATTTGTATTGTTTTTATGGTCCCCACATGCGAGTTTTCCCCTGACTTCCTATTCAACACAAACAGGAAGTGATGAAATGTTGTTCTAGTGGGCACATTATGTATTTCATCAGGATAGACCCTAAATTTATATCTCCTAGTTAATACACAGATGGTAATGAAAACCTGACAAATTCGAACCTTCCTCTTTTTACTGATAAAAAGTGTTATTGCTGTTTGTTTCAGTTGGAGAGATTTCCTCTCACTTGACACTTCTCATTGACAGGTGAGCAAGAAGTCAGACAGCGATAAAAACATTCACAAATTCATGTCCTTTCCACTTTATCCAAGCAGTAAGGAAAAAAAAGTTTTGGCTGGAGTAGACTTTAAAATGCGATTTAATGCATTTTCAAGTAACTTTGGCTCCCTGGGTGTCGGAGGTTTTTTAGTAGATTTGAGTCAACGCGTGCTATGGTCACACAGAATATTTTGATGTTATATTTAAATATGAAGAATACATTCTGATGAGTAACATGTAGCTGTTTAAACAGTATTCAATAACGACTGTAAAAGTGTATTCAAAACCAAAGAGCAAAAATTCATTAATACAGACATCACATACAAGGATTGGTAAGTTGCAATATAGTTTTTGTTTTTTTCACAAGGTAATCTTGCCAGTAACACTTCTGTCTATGTAATGGTTATGTTTGGTATCACTTTACATTTCAAATTTTAAATCTTGAAATGAACATTAAATTTGCCTCTTAGGAACGGATGTGAAGGATGCCCAGGTCATCAGTGTTTCTACTGAAGGAACAAAATGTATTAATGGAGAGTACATGAGTGATCGTGGTCTTGCGTTAAATGACTGTCATGCTGAAATCATAGCACGCAGGTCACTACTTAGATTTCTTTATACACAGCTAGAGTTCTTCCTAAGGTGAGTGAAAGACCATGCTTTAACTAGTCTCAAAATCTGTTGTAAAACTTGCTTATATTTTTTTTTAGGTTCTTGTATAGGGCTAACAATTTACACAGTGCTTTGCGCATGTGTGCGTGTGTGTGTGTGTATTTTAATGTACATTTACATCAGTCCTTGTCCTCAAAGAACTTACAATCTAAGGTTCCATACACATACTAGGTCCAATTTAGAAAGGAGCCAGTTAACCTACCAACATGTCTGGAGTGTGGAAGGCATCTGGAGTACTTGGAGGAAACCTACGCAGGCACAGGGAGAATATGCAAACTCCAGGCAGGTAGCGCTGTGGTTGGGATTCGAACAGATGACCCAAGTGCTGCCAGACAGAAGTGCTAACCACTTGGCCACTGTGCTTCTATTTAACGAAGAGACATGGACAGTAAACTGTCAGTCACTGCTCTCTACTCTGACCAAACCCCCTCCCGAACTTTCAGTGGATCACTGAGAGGCTTAGCCAGGTGCCAGTTCAGGCTCTTGGGTCAATCCTGTCCATATAGTCATGATCTTTCCCCAGCCGGCCCGGCTGAGTGACCTCAGCTGTGAGGTGGGTCACAGGGAAACCGGTCAAAGGAATGCAGAACAAATTGCACTCCTGTGGTCCATAGGAGAAATACAGCGAAGCGAACTTTGTGCGTTTCCTTTTTAAGAATCTTGAACTGTTAATTTAAGAATTACATTGAATGTCTTTAGCTGCATTTGAAGATTTTAAATAAATATGCTAATGTATGTACCTGAATATGACTCTGTATTGGCCTCTTGCAACTCCTTTCATGGCAAAATTCAGGCTGGGTGAGGGAGGCGCATTACCATTGAACTTACTAGAATGTGCATTTTGATTAAGGCACATCAAAGATGTAGCAAAGCATACTCTGTTTTGTGCATCTCACCAAGAACACACTGGTGTGAATGGGATCTCACAGTTTCAGCAAATGAGATGAAACAAAAATTGCATTTCTAGATTATAAAATCTGTCATTGGTGTTTGATGAAGATGTACCGTAGTATCACAAAAGCACTGTGTAAGAAGTTGCTCCTCCTTTGCTTTTCGGATTCTGGGTACAGTTTAACGTAATAACATTTTTTTAAATTAACACAGTTCAGTATTTATTTGGGTTTTTATCTTTTCATAGCACTAGAGAAGATCATCCGAAGTCCATTTTTATGAAATCTGAGCGTGGTGGATTTAGACTAAAAGACAATGTGCAGTTTCACCTGTATATCAGCACATCGCCATGTGGAGATGCTCGTATATTTTCACCCCACGAGGCTGGACAGGAAGGTATTGGAATAACCTGCAACGTCCACATTGTAGCCTGATGGCAGATAATGAAAAATCTGTTTTAGAATAGCTTGCTACTCTTAGGCTGCATAGGGTTTAAAGTACGCTTGTCATGAGAAGTTTTGGGCTTTTTCCCTTCAAAAATGCTAGTTTATTGGCTAGGTCTGGCTTCAGTATTTCTGACTCCCAGACCTGTATATACATGAGGAAACCTGACTTCTCATTAGCTAATACACCTGCTCTAGGTTGGTAACTCGCTCGGTGTTGGAGCAAAAACACAAGCATGACAGGCGAATCCTGTGAACGATAACGGAAGCCTGCATATATTGTACTTCTCATGTCCAGCAAAGGAACTGACTCTAGGAGCACTTTTTTTTTTTTTTTTTCCCCCCCCCCCCCTTCAGTTTACAGTTTTACATAGCAAGGTTACAGAAAACTAAAATCCAGCCAATGACAGCTTCACCGTTCTCAAAGTCAGAGATCTTACCCTGCTCCGTGACCTCCTTTTTGTCTCCTGAGTTGATAAGAGTCCTAACTGTTAAAATGATTCTGAGCAGGTTTTTCCCTACACAATCATCTTGTATGTAAATATAAAAAAATTGAAATCTATTGTGCTTTATTACTTTCTTATGAAGCCAGTTTTTTTGGGGTGGTTTTCTGTGAGTGTAAATATTTTATTGCATTTCTGCACAATATAGAGGAATGCGGTTCACAGTGGTACCAAATGTCACAAAAAATTCCAGAAACCATAGCGGCAAGTGTTTCACAAACTATATTGCCTTGTGAAAGTATTCTGCCCTTTTGGTGTTTTTGTTGCATTACAACCTGGATTTAAATTTGGATTTTATTGAGTCTTTTTACCATGCAATGTACACAGCATGCCTTTTTGAAAATCCAAAATATTTTTATGTAGTAATAGTTTATTTTGAACAAGTGGGAAAAAAACAATCTTGTGTGCATAGGTATTTATTCTGTTTTCTATGAAACCCCTAAATATGTGGTCTAAACAATTAACTTCAGAAGTCCTAAATTGTTAGCTGAGTACATAAGGTCCTGCTGTGTGTATTTACTGTCCCATGAGGTCAGTGTAGAAAAAAAAGCTTAACTCTTTCACTGCCAGGTCCGTACGATGTACAGACCTACAGCACTGCTTCTAGCTGGCCAGGTCTGTACGCGGTACGGACCTGCATCCTGCTTCTGCTGTAAGCTTATGGTCAGTTTAGTGGCCATGAGCTTATGGCAAAACTGTTCAGCAGATTCTGCTAAGAGACATATAGCTCTGATTAGCCGCTAACGAGCTATTCACCTCAAATAATCACATTTTGTTGCTTTGCAGCCTGAAATGAAGTTTGTTCTATCCAGCTGTATTCAGTGCAGCTTATAACATCAAAGTGAAAGATATAATACATGTCAGAAAAATTTTTTTAAAAATCAAAAACAGAATTCCTGATTAGGAAAAAGGATCACTCCCTCCTAAAAGACTTGTAATCAGGTGTAGCTAATGAATAAAAAAGCTAGTGCAGCACTGAATATATCAATTACATAAATTGTGGGAAAAAACAATCCATATATCAATAATATATAATAATATATATTATATATAATAATATATAACATATATTATAGTGATTATATCAGTGTAATTCAGAATGTCCAAACAATAAAGTACATGTCAAATAATGAATAGTGTCCCAATTGAAAAAGAAATGGCCAGGTTCTTTGTCCCAGTAACACCAACAGTGTGCACGCCTCCACCCATATGCACTCACCAGAGGCTAAATGGTAACTGTATAAAACCTGTTTGTCGTGATCATCTCTGCGTCTCAATTCTTGGTAATTCCCAAAGTCCTAGGTGAAAAGAGCTCACATAACAGAGCCCAGACAGAGGTATATAGTGCAGTATGTTTATTAAAACAAAAAGGGGCGATTTTTAATATTTACAAATATTTTTATTAACTCAATACCATTTTAGCCTTCATATTAAGTAGGAACTTAGCAGGAATTTTGTAAATTTTGACATGTATGTATCCACTAATAATGATTTTAGTGTATTTTAAGTGAAAATAGTGATTTTGATGAACATTTGTACAGCCATTGCGGGGCCTAAAAAAAATCCATATCAATTTTTTTTTTTTTCTATAGGTCATGTGCTTTCAAAAAAATATATGGTATAGGGCAGGGGTCTCCAAACTGTTTAATCAAAGGGCCAATTGACGATCCTAAGGCTTTAGGGGGGCCAAACTGTGGCCAGTGTAAGTAGAAAATGTCCCAGCATCAGTGGGAGTAAACACTGCTCCACCATTGGTTTTTACAGAAGGACTAATGCCCTGTTGTCGGCTTTAGCAGGAGGAACAGTGAACCATGGTTGGTATCAATTGCAAATATAGTGCCCTATGAATGGTGTCAGTGGGAGAAATAGTGCCTCATCATTGGTCTTAGCATCGATAATATCAGTGGGAAGAAGAGTGTCCCATTAATGGTGAAAGTGGGAGGAATGGTACCTTCTCATTGATGTCAGTTGGAACAATAGTATCCCCCAGAGGTAAGCAAAGGGCCGCATCTGGCCCCCAGGCTGCAGTTTGGAGACCACTGGTTTAGGCGGTCTTTTACAATTTCTGTAAGTTGTACGTAAAAAATGATACACGGTAGATTTTTAGAATAAATTGTATTTACAGTTTTGCCTACCTCTTGCTTTTTCCCTTTTGTACAAAAAAGGCACCATTTTAAAATGCACAAATATTTATTAACTCAATATAGATTTAACTTTTTATATTTAGAAGGAATTTTGTAAATTATGTGATTCATGTATCCACTAATAATGATTTTAGTGTATTTTTAGCAAAAATATTGTTTTGATAAACATTTGCGCAAATATCACAGGGCCTAAAAAATCAGTAGTGTCTTCCTTTTATTCTACTGATCCTATGCTTTCAGAGAATATATGGTTTGGGGGGTCTTTCACAAACTTCAAAAGCTGTAAAGGTAAAATAAAAAATCATTGGAAAAATTCCAAAAACAGCCTAGCCACTTGAGTTTAAAAGTGGAGCGCACAGCTTGCCAGCGAAAAAAGTTAAAGGAAGGAGTACTACTACTTGTTTGGAGCTCGCCAAACATGCAGGAAACTTTTTTTTTTTTTTTTTTGCTGAGATGAGTGGCCTCAGCAACAGTTGCTTCTTGAAGTCACTAGAAGCCTTTAAGTGCCCAATAAATCAATGGAAAGTTGGCATGTTAGTCATTGGGCCAGACGTTGTCACCTGCTCTGGTGATTGATCCTCCTCAATTTGGTGTTCTATATACCTTATATCTTTGATCATTGCTTACAAAAAAAGTTGGCTTGACAATTGTCATTTGTCTATGGATTGCACTAAGCAAAAAGATGCTAGCTGCCTTGGCTACGCTGTCTTGTGTGTGTTATCAAGATGCTTTGCATGCAATAAAGGCAGGGGTGTACACTTTGGATTCAGTTTGATGCATACAAAATGCATTGCCCTAGACCAACATGGAACCTTTTTGCAGCCTTATGAAATATAGGTGACTTATAAAGTGTGTCCTGATCTATTTCTGGAGGGAGGTGATTTTTTTTTTTTTCTTTCTTCTTTCTGATGTTTTTTTATATATATATATATATATATATATATATATATATATATATATATATATATATATATATATATATATATATATATATATATATAATATATATATATAATGTTATATATAATTTTTTTTTTTTTTTTTTTTGTACAGACCAGGGTGATCGTCATCCAAACCGAAAAGCCCGAGGACAGCTTCGAACCAAGATAGAGTCTGGAGAAGGTACTATTCCAGTGAGGTCCAGCAGTACCATCCAAACCTGGGACGGTGTTTTGCAAGGAGAGAGGCTACTAACAATGTCTTGCAGTGACAAGATTGCAAGGTTAGAACATAATGAACAATGGCCGCCTTGAAGAATTTCTTGTTAAAATCCTTTCTGCAGGAAATTCAACTTGCATGCTTTATAATGAACTCTCAAATCGAACATTTAATCTTTAAATATGTTAAACATATCTTTAAATTGGGAAGTAAATTCCTAAGCAAACAATGAATTGTTTTACTGTTTTTTATAAAGCTTAATTATGAAATGTTTGTAAGTATTTAGGATCAAAAGAATTTTACATGAGCACTTTATTGCACCGTTTAATTCTTTATTTTAACATTAACTTAGGGCTGCAACTAATGATTTTTTTCATAATTGATAGTTGACTGATTATTGTTGCAGTTAATTGATTCATCGTATAAAAACCTGAAATGTAAATTTTGTTACTATGTAAAGTTTAAAAAGACAATTTAATCTTGAACATATATATGAAGTGGTAAATATAAATAACCAGCTATATGGTTAGGAAACAAAATATCAAATCCACTCTGAGAATAACAGAAGATGTACAGTATATATACTATTAGAGGTTGCATCTGTTACATGTCATCAGACTCGGAGATCAGTATTTTATTTATTTTTTTAAAGTGTTACTAAAGTCTTACTTTTTTTTTTTTTTTCTTCTTCAATTAACCACTTCCAAACCGGGCACTTTTACCCCCTTCCTGCCCAGGCCAATTTTCAGGTTTCAGTGCTCACACTTTGCATGACAATTGCGCGGTCATACAACACTGTACCCAAACTAAAATTTTATCATTTTCTTCACACAGCTAGAGCTTTCTTTTGGTGGTATTTAATCACCGGTGGGGTTTTCATTTTTTGCTAAATTAACAAAAAAGACCAAAAATTTTGAAAAAAAACCCCACTTTTTTCTTTTTCTGTTATAAAAGTTTGCAAATAAATTGTTCATAAATTTAGGCCAAAATGTATTCTACTACATGTCTTTAGTGAAAATAACCCAAATTAGTATTTATTATTTAGTCTGTAGGAAAGTTTTAGAGTTCACAAACTATGGTATATATCTGAATATTGATCAATCCTGAAGTTCTGACAGCCAATCTAATTTCTTGAGGTCCAAGAATGTCAGAACAGTACAGATATCCCCCAAATGACCCCTTTTTGCAAAGTAGACAGTCCGACGTATTGCATAATAGGCATGGTGAGTTTTTTGAAGTTGCAAATTTTTTTGTCATTTTTTGGAAATTAAGCAATAAAAAAAAGATTTCACTATTTTTTTTTTTTTTACATACTATCACCAGTGCAGTACAGTGTCCTCATATAACTGGCATGGCGGTGATCAGGGATTAATTTTTATTTTATTTTTTCCTTTTTTGTTTTTTTGTCATTTCACTATGACCAAAGTAGTACAATGTTACCATAGTAACATTGTACTACTTTGGGGAAGTGATCTATATATTTTTTTTTTTTTACACAATTTGCTTATAGCAAAGAATTACTTTGCTATAAGCAAGCATTTACCTGAATGAAATCGATTCATTCAGGATTTTTTTTTTCTTAACTGTGATTTGGCCACAGCTAATCACATGACACAGCTTGGCTGTGATTGGCCCAGCTTGTGCATGTGATCGCTGTGACCATTCACAGCTAGCCACACTTGTATACAATAGATGGCATGATAGGAAGCCATCCATTGTATACAACTGTCGTGACCTGCTTTAATTGGTGACAGCAGGTCACATGGTACTGGCAACGGGGCCAGTACACAGATCTGTCATCTGCCGTATCCAAGGTACACGGCCGGTGACAGATCTCGTATGCGCATGCCTAAAAGGATGTGGCGTCCCCCCGGAGGGCCAAGGGTTTTTGCCGGCTGCCATTTGGCCATAGGCCAGGCGGGAACTGGTTAAAATGATAAACAGTCTACTCACCTGCTCTGTGCAGTGGTATTGCACAGACTGGCCCCAATCCTGCTATTCTCAGGCCCCCTGACGGCGGTCTCGACTCTCCCTCTTCTTTGTGTATCCCCCATAGCAAGCTGTTTGCTATGGGGACACATGCTGCTTGCTTGCTCCCGACCTGTGTGTCTACAGAGCCAGGCTCCACAGAAATACACAGCCGGACTTTGCCCCGCCCACCCATTTCCTCTTCACTGAAGTGAATGTCTCCTGCTGCTGTTCCAGTCCCTGTTTGAAGAGGAAGCGAGGAGAGAAGAGATGCAGTTGTGCACAGCACTGATCTCTTCTCCCCTCTTTTTCCCAGGGAAACCTTAATTTTTTTTTTTTTCTCTTTAAAGTGATAGAAAACCTAAAGATGCAAAACATTGTTTTGCAGATCTTCAAACCGTACGGTAATAAATTATGCATGACCGAATCCCTTGTCATGAACAGATTTAATACAAGCTATCTGTGCCTGCTATCAATGAGACATTTAGTAGCAGCAGCATGCATTTTGTGTCGCCTGTTATGATGGGGTAAACCGTTTCAAATACCGTGCAATTTTACACCTTCCTGCCCAGGCCATTTTGCAGGTTCAGCTTTCACACTTTGAATGACAATTGCGCAGTCATACAACATTGTACCCAAACTAAAATTTTATCATTTTCTTCACACAACTAGAGCTTTCTTTTGGTAATTTAATCACCGCTGGGGTTTTGCATTTTTTGCTAAATTAACAAAACTTGTAAAAAAGACCAAAAATTTTGAAAATTGTGTTTTGGAGCACATAAGTGTGAAAAATAAAAACATTTTCCCTTAACATGCAATTTGTTTCGTAATGCATCCAAAATAAAAGTTTACAAAAAAATAATATAAGGTGTTTCTTCATAAATTTAGGACGAAGATGTATTCTGCTACATGTCTTTGGTGAAAATAACCCAAATTAGGATATGTATTTTTTAGTTTGTAGGAAAGTTATAGAGTTCAAAAGTTTATGGTATAGATCTGAATATTGATCAATCCTGAAGTACTGACAGCCAATCTAATTTCTTGAGGTCCAAGAATGTCAGATCTTAGTACAGATATCTGGCCCAAATGACCCCTTTTTGCTGATGTAGACAGTCGGCACGTACTTCATAAGAGGCATGGCGAGTTTTTTGAAGTTCGCCATTTTTTTGTCATAATTTTTCCGAAAATGAAAAAATGAAAAATATTATTTTCACTATTTTTTTTTTTACATACTGTCACCAGTGCAGTACAGCGTCATCATATAACTGGCATGGCGGTGAACAGGGACACTGACTGGTGACAGTATGAAAAAAAAAAAAAATATATATTTTTTTTTAATTTTTTTTTATTTTTTTATTATATTTAATTTTTTATTACATTTTTTTTTTTATTTTTTTAAGATTTTTTTTCATATTTTACTATGACCAAAATAGTACAATGTTACCATAGTAACATTGTACTACTTTGGGGAAGTGATCAGTAGTTTTTTTTTTTTTTTTTTTTTACACAATTTGCTTATAGCAAAGAATTACTTTGCTATAAGCAAGCATTTAGCTGAATGAAATCGATTCATTCAGCTTTTTTTTTTTTTTTTTTTTTTTTTTTTTTTTTTTTTGCTTAGCTGTGATTTGGTCACAGCTAATCACATGACATGTGCATGTGATTAGCTATGACCATTCACAGCTAGGCACTAGTATACAATGGATGGCATCATGAATGAAGCCATCCATTGTATACAACTGTCATGTGACCTGCTGTGATTGGTCGCGGCAGGTCACATGGTACCGCGGCAACGGGAGCCGGTACTCGGATCTGTCATCGGCCGTGTCCGAGGTGCACGGGCGGTGACAGATCCCGCTGCTGCGCCGCTCTGCAATACCGCAAACGGCGCATGTGCGGGAGCACGCCAAATGGCGTGGACCCGGAAAGCTGCAGCGCTTTTCAAGCCGCCAAACGGCTATTGGCCGGGCGGCTAATGGTTAAAAAACAAATTAGCCCTTTAGCCTTGGTTCACACTGATGCAGTGCGCTTTCTGTGTGCTTTCAAGTGCAATTTCAAGGAGCAAGTACGGTGCGATTCTGATGCGATTTTACACAGCTACGATTTTCTGTTCTAATTTAGTAACATTAGAAATAGGTGCATCTCACACTGAAATCGCATTGCATTTGGTGCAATACGTTTTTGAGCCCCAAAACTTGTATGGAAACAGCAGTGAGAACGCATACACATTGAAACATGCATAGGACCCTTTTGGAAATCCAATTGTGTTTTGGAGCACATAAGTGTGAACGACCTCCATAAAAAGTCATATCTCCCTTAACATGCAATTCTGTGCGTTCCGTAATGCATCCAAAATCATATCAATGTGAACCAGGTCTTGTATTACAAAAAGAGCAGATAATGACTATTTATAAGGTGTTCATTTATGCTGTGAAACAGTGAAAGATAGATATAGTAACTTATACAGTATAATAAAATACCCAGAAGAAGGATTTACAGAGTATTTTAACTTGGAGTCAGACATGAAGCTATATGAAGGGTAGAGGGAGGATATAAATATTTTTTTATATTAAAGTAGGACTAAAGGCTAAGACTTTTTTTTTTTTGCATGGATATTAAAAGTTTAAGTATAGTGGTATACTGGTAACTTTTTTAAATGTTATTTTAATGTCCTATATTGCCTCCAGTCTATTGGCTTCCAGCTCCTCTGGATTCAGATGCTGATCTTCCCTGCACAGAGCTCTTAAACTGGCTGTAAACGGATGTTTTTTTTTTATAGCTAACATGTCATACTTACAGGTTCTGTGCAATGGTTTTACACAGAGCAGCTCCGATCCTCCTCTGGCATCCCCCCGCCATTGCCCCTGGCTCCTCCTGCCTTCAGAGTGCCCCTATAGCAAGCTGCAAATTATAGTATAATTTAGCAATGTAAAAACAATTCTGCCTTTTTAGAATCACTTTTAAATCGCTTTCTTCTCCTGCCCAAGACTACATGTCCCATGAGGCATTGCTCCTCACATTCACAATTTCTCAGGCACTTACTGCCATGTATGGATGGCGTACTGAGCTGTATGTTTGCTGCACTGTGTATACTGA